AACGGCGTGTGCTAACTATGGAATGGTTATGTAAGCTTTGCTGTGACCTGACAGTAAGGTTAGTGTGTAGTATTGACTCCTAACACAAGGCCTGCACTGTCAGAAGTGTCCTCTTCGAGTGTTGCTTTGGTGAATAGACACCCTTTGAGGCCTTGTTGGTGACATAAGTTTGGCTTTGGTCGGGTCAGTAATAGTACGCCCAAAGGAGAACGCTGGCGTTGACAGCGAGCGACTTGATATTGCGTCTGTGTCTATCTTGCAATGCAGAGAATGTTGCTGCTGTGCTAGTGTTCAGAGTCCTAACAAGAAAGCAATGCTCTGACTTGGAGCTGCAAAATCAGTCATGGTGATGGCACCGCGTACCGTCTAATGAACGTGCTCGGATAACTTGGGGCGCGCAAAGGCCTGGGCTCGCCTGAGACATCGACTGGGATGGACGGGAGCCAGATCTATGGAGGACAAATCAGAATTGAAGACTGCCTTTAGCCGTGGCACAATCTTTTCCGTAATATAGTTGTAGTGATACGCATCACCACTTCTCCAAAGTCGGGCAACGCATGTAATTCCGTGCCAGGATGGGTGAAGGCAACGACCTCGTTACAATGCTCTACAGCCAAAGCGAGAGACGAAAGGGGAGAGTGTGTGGATTTGGTGGGTCAACAGGATGTCTGTGCTTGGACCCCGAAACGACAAAGGCCAGGTTTATGACCAAGTTGTTGGTGGTTGTCGACTGGCGCAAACAGTGGGCGGCTGAAGCACAGATGACGAGACCGACGAAGAATGGATACACCTCGATATATTGGGCAGACGGGAGAAGCCCGGGCAAGGCAGTGGCAGTGAGCGGAAACGCTGAGCGATTCGTGCGCAGCTATTCTTGCTATGCTGTCCCTTGCTCTCCTTCCTTTCTTACCGCAGGCTGAGAGGAGGTCGACCGTCAGTGAGGTAGGGTCAAGGGGAAACAAAGTTGTGTGGTGTTCCCCTCCTACGGTCCCTAAAAATCAATAAAACTAGCGGCAAGGAAAAGGAAAGATCGGGGCGGGGTGTTTCCGTTTCTTCCTTTTTGCATTTCAGTTGTTCCTGCCGTAGCCTGCAGCCACACACTGGGTGTTTGGTGTGAGAGGGGAAACCTCGAGGAAAGACCTAAGCTTGAGGCAGGTGTTTGCTTGCCTCGTCCCAGGGGGGAGCTAAGATTTACCAAGCGACTAAACTGCCTGCCTGCCTGCCTGCCTTCTACCTATCTGCTGTCTGTCTCCGTTCCTTCCTTCCTCTTGAGCACTTGTGACAGCGTCCCTTCAATACAAATAGATACGTACCTGCCTTACCCTAGGAAACTCAGTTTGAGGCAAGCAGCTCTGAATAGAAAGCAGATGGAAGATGAGGCAAGACAGGAGCAACCGGAGCAACCGGAGCAAAAGGAGCTACCCGTAATCCAAACTTCCCCCCTTTTGCCCTTCATTTCTTCTGAGCATCCTCTAACCAATATCCGGTATATTCGATGGCATGTGCTTTCTGCCCTTTTTTTCCCAGGGGATGGTAAAAAAAAAAAGAAGGGAACGTACTAGTAGGACCTGAGAGTGTCGCCGAATGGGGACCAGGTCGACACAGCGCCCACACACCCCTGAGAAGACCCCACTTTGCTGAAGACAATGGGTCTTATTCAGTACCGGCCTATGCCCTACGCAGTAAGGGTAACGTATACACAGCAAGCAGCCTCCTCCATTGCATGCATCTGCAGCTGACACAACGTACAGGAAGGTACCTACCTTTCGTACCCTTGTAAGGTTGTCGTGACTTGAGCTGCAAGCTGTGACAGAAGAGGAAAGGGCAGACTATTATGTCCCTTTCGTCAACCCTTTGCAGTTGCAACTTTTGCTCCGGAATGCTATTGCTATTGTTGGTGCTGCTGTTTGATGCACAGCACGTCCTTGCCACTGGGCCACTTTTGCAAACTTGTGCTGCATGGTTAACTTTCATGTACGGAGTACTACTACATAGTGTGGGTGGTATGGTATATGCCATGCCCATGCTTCGTCCGTCCATGTCAGTCCCTGTGCATCACATCTGCCCGCCCGGTGCATGGGATGGGACATCGGCAGCCGTCCTATTCATCCGTCACATCGTACGGATATCATGTCTCTCTTTTCTCGTCGTTACCGTCATGCCATGGCCTCATCTCGCCTCGTCTCGTCCAACATGACTTCGCCTCGGCTCATCCACCCTGCGCCTGTCTGCCGAACCCTGTAAGTCCACCACCGCCGCAGAAATTCTTCCTTTTTCTGCCTTGAAAATGTCAGCGACCGAGACTTGAAAACCCTCAAGGGATGTAATACAGATAAGATAGACTACGTATGTCCTCCTAATATCCTACCCTGGACGGGTGGGGTAGATACCTGACCTTCAGCCTTCAGACACCAAGAGCCGACTGGCACCCTACGCTGCCACCACCCACTGGCAGTGTCCCTGGCGCCGAACGGCGCGGCTTGTCGTAGCGGCGGCGTTCTTCTACACAAACTTTGGAACCGCTTTGCATCTCACCAAATTAATGTGCCATCTTGAGGGCACTTTACGGAGTATCGCACGGCATCTTGTCTTGATACGCCTTACCGAGACCTTACACTGCTTAGCCATCCGTATATCTCAAATTCAACATTTGACGTGCCACTTGGACACCCACCCCTCCAAAACTAGCCTAGGTCCCCAGTTGCATAGCGATATCAAATCCTCAGCTGGAAATTATTGCTCCCAGAGCGGCAATCCCTACTCTACCAGTGCTACTTAATCTGACCTTACACCTGGCTTACGTTACCCCGAAAATGAGGTGAGAGTTGTGCGAGGTTGGTTGCGGTGCGCCGCAGTGTGGTGCTTTGAGCCATCTAACCCCTCGCGTGTCCCCCAACATATCACATCAGTTCCCCCACGGCAACCACCACTTCCGCCTGGGCGCCTACTCGCCAGACCCACTCTACCTTCCATTGCTGCTACATCATTGTTGGCTCGCCTCGGTGTGGTGCATCCAACGCTCAAGCGCACACAGTCGAAGTAGTGGCGAGCACCAACCACCAAGTTACCTGTTCCATCCTGTCTCTTAACAAGATACTTATGCGCATGATGGTTATGATTGATTGCCCAGTCATCCATATCTATCGTAGCATTCAAGCAATGCACAACACCACGGCTGCGCTCGGATCATCCACTTGCCATACTCAGTATTACTTGCCGCCCGTCACTACATCACTTCACAACAGCAAACATGAGAGAACACGCGGCAACAAGAAGAAGCTTAGGGGTACCTCAGGATCCTGTCGTCGCTGCCCTGGCACCTGGCGTCTTAGTGCCGGTGCCCGAACAAAGACCTCCCGCCCTGACACTTGCGCCGCGAAAGAGAGAGACCTGGCTTGGTCGAGTCGGTGCGCTGACAGGGGTCCATACCAGGATGTTTCTTGCGGCTTCAGCGACGACACTCTGCCTCTTGGGACCAATTGTTGTCCATCACTAAGGCGTCTTTGCCCACAAGACACTGTAACTGCGCTGTGGTTTCCCGGCACACAATATATGCCACTCCCACCCACATCCACCCACCCACACACACGCGCACAAACACACACAAGTGGGAAAAGGAAAAGGAAGAGGGAAGGAGAAGCACCTCAAACAAGGGGCCACTCGACGGCGACTGACGTCTGTTCTCAAAGCTGCCCACCCATGCCACAAAAGCAGCCGCTGCTGTCCGCTTCCTCAGACCTCTGACTGACGAGCGAGGCTGAACCCAGAGGCAATCCACGGGGCCGGCGCCAGGAGCAGTGGCTTCCCTGGCATTTCGAAACTTGCCTTCTGTCAGCCTTTCTACTTTTTCTCTTTCCCGATTCTACGCTGCACGGCTATTGCTCCTCAACAGACCAGAAGCGAAATGTCGCAATGAAATACAAACGAGAAGGCCACGATTTGCCAATGCTCGCCTTTTTTGGTGTCTCGCTAAGCCCCATTCCTTGCGCCCAGGCAAATGCCCATCTCTGCTTGAACCCCTGGCATTTGGTCCGAATCAATCATAGAATTCAACAATTCGGGCTGACCAGTTCTCCTCATCGGTTTAAACCCCTTGATTTTACAGGCTGCCCCAGAACCATAACTCACCACCATCACGACGATCCCCACTGTCGGCAGGGGCGTGGTGATAGTAGATTTACCTTGCAGATGCCACGAGGTGTGCAGTTAAGACCAGGGGTCCTGATACCTCTCTCCCTTGTATCCCATTTCGTCCCCATGCCCCCGTCCACTGTCAAAGCCCTTCATCGCCTGATGGGGGAATTTCCCACCCGTATCCACTGTCACAGACCTGGACCTTGCGAAGCGGAGAGACCTCAACCCTGGACCTCGTCGTCCGTCCGTCCTAACGACCGTTTTTTGTTTTTCGATGCAAGCGCTTCCGTCATGGCTCAGACATGGGCAGGGTAGCTCAAATCCGTTCACTTTCTGCTCAAAACCAATGCTTTGCGCCTTGCTCTCGTTTACCATCAAGGTACCTACCCTACCGCACGCCCTGGCCTTCTCCCTCCCTCGTCTCACTCATATATATGCCATCCAGCCTCGACTGACTATTTTGCATGCTTTTTGCAACGAGACTCTCTGGTACCTATACACAAAACTCGTCCCGGCCTCAGATACACCAACAAGTGGGTTTGCTTTTATCCGCCTCTCGTCACGCCTGTCATCTCTTCTCCTTTTATTCGTCTGTACGACTTCGGATCTCTGAACCAAGCCGGCCAAGACTTTACATCCTCCATTACTACACCAGTATATAACCCGAGGCATGCTGTCACTTTTGAGGACAATTGGAGCCTGAGCTACTATCACCCTTTTACTCAACCCCTTCTACTTATCCACTATCTCTTGTTTGGCTTTCTCTTCGAGAACACCATATTCAAATTGTATGTCAGATATTCCATCGTTCGTTGTTAACCCATATGCTAATTCACTTCCAGCTTACGATTTCGTCGTCGCCCGACATGTGCGATTTCACTAAGAACTACTACATATATACATCATGTATCGATCCTGGCGCCCACTTCTTCAGAACCTCAGTGGACGGCAACCGGAATCGAACCTGCGGCAAGGGCCCCCATGAGCGTTACATTGTCGTTCCCGGCCACTGCCCGCTCTGTGGTGGCTAACCGAAGCATACGACATATCTTCAACACTCTCGTCAACCGGTACCAGACAAGTCTTGGGCATGATACAAATTCCAGCCTTTTGGTCTCCGGATATTGTTAATAGGCTTTTCTTATGGACGTTCTCGGATGGACTCTCGAATTCTCATCACTCAACCAAACAAAATTTAAGGCAGAACAATATCTTCATGGCGTCAGGACCAGGCTTTACGATCCAAGAGGCAACCCGTATCTACCAAAGCGACTACTCGCCCTCTCGCGCGGACAGACCATCACCGACGAGTGGCACCGGGTTGCACAGTGCTTCATGTCGGTTAGGGAACGAAATGATGGGTAATGCACAAGTGATGCAGCTCAGGGAGGGAACCAAAATCAACGAGGTGGCAGCTCGGTAGTGGCGGAGGGGGCTTGGTTATCGCTATCAACAACACGCGACAGGAGGAGGCCTCATTACGTCTACCTTTTCCTCCATTTCACGAAACAAAAAGAATAACATCTGGTCACTCGACAATCACGGAAGGGTTGGATAGCGAAGAACGAAAAGCGAAAGCGAAATGGCACAGCAAGCGAGCACTGCACTAATCTGTCTATCTGCACAGCACCAAAGCGTTTTTTGGCCTTTCTTTTATCGGCCTCGTCAAAAGCTTGATTTTCTCGTCCATTTTTCTTTACTCGTACCTTTCTCATCTACATGCATTTATCTTGTTTTCTCATATCAGTGGACATCATCAGCATAGCAAAGCAGACGTCATGTATGCTTCACTTTGGAAGGGCTCGTAAAGCGGGGGCATCATAGGCGTTTAGGATCAAGAAGGCGTCAATCGGATTTCGGGCACAAAGTTGTTATCTCTGCATATTTTCTGTCTTTTTTTTGCAGGCATGTAATCCGGCCGGACTAAGTCTAGTACTTTCTTTAGGCTGAACAATTTTGACACAAGAGGACCGCCACGGGTCACTCTGATTTCTTTTCCACGCTCACAGTTCATGAGCCTGATGAAGTGCCAATGCCGTGCTTAGTACCCGTCTAGTAACGGTCCATTCCCAGGCCAGCTCACTTATCTTGGTTCGTCCGTGGCAGAGTCAAGATCGAGTATTCTACATCTAACAGCCGGATAAGTCCCTGCGGAAGCGAGCTTGGGGTGTCGGGGGCAGAGCAGGACTGACGAACCACCTGCTCAGGCTTCTACCAGCTGATGATAAGGTGCCATACGCCGGGACGATATTGGCATGTTTCTTTTTTTATACAATACCCAGGCGACTCAGTGATTAGGCGGGAGGAAGGCAACAGCCGTCACTCATGCCCGTTATGATATCAAAATATGCGGTACATCGACTGATGTGGCAATGACTATAGCGACCTCGCCTTTTGATAGTAGTTCAGGCAACCGCGTGGCACATCGGTTAGACATATAACAGAGCCGCCATATACCCCTCTTTTGGCCGCCCTGCAATTTTGTTTTGTCCTTCATGCAAGTCTTTCTTGCTCACCTTCCTCGCACGTTTCCGCGCCGTTTTAACCCCTCTCGCTTCTCGTTCATGCCCTGTTCGCCCCCTCAAACGTTCTCACGCCCGCAAACATTCCGAGCGGTAAGAGGAGCTGGGAAACGTTTAGCTCGAAAACCACCAACCGTCTCTGGTGCTGCCACATCTGCCTCTTCGACAAGCTGGGATTCGAGAAACCAACAAACCTTCTCAACAAGCCGATATAATTGCCCCGGTCACTCATATAGCCCTCTCCCCCGCTGTGGGTATTGTGAGCTGCCGCCGGTGGATATTCTGTTAGAGGTCTTTGCAGAACGGCCAAGTGAGGGACAACGCCGCACCATATCTGTAGGCTGACACATCTGTAGCATCCTGGACAACCTGCATGCAGCCGGATCCTCTTTTCACAAGTCTGTTGCGCCGGGGGTCGAGATTCGTGTTGTGCAGCTCCCCTCTCATTTTCCCTGGGATTTACCTGCATGCACCCTCCGCCTCTGTTCCGAAGTTTGGTCGTGATATCTCTGAGTCTTGTCATCATCATGCTGCGCATGACGGCGGGCAATATGGGGGGGATCCCCTCTCAGCTGGGGACCGACCCCATGGCCTGATCGGCAGAAAGATGCGACAGTTACGACAAGCTGGGGTGAAGTATCGCGTACGCTTCCGTCATCCAATTTGCAGTCTGCATGAAGCTCAATTCGTCTGTGATGTGGCTGCATCGTTTGGTTCAGAGACTGCAGCCCTTTTTTTTTTTTTTCTTCACTTTCATTTCAAGGCGAGAAAAGTGCAATGGAATCGAACTGCTTCCGAGGCGGGGCGGGCATACCTGGTTCGTTCTGTTACGGTACAGGTCGGTTGGGATTTGAAGATCCGCTCACACTCACATACCCCCGCCAGTGATGGTTCATTTGGTGGCAGAAAGCTTCCTTTTGTCTTTTCTCCTGCCTCATGCCCAACGAAAGGTCAACTCCACGCAAACGTGACGTAGGGGCGTTCACACACCCCCTCTCCGTTCCTGCCCCCCTCCTCACTCTCTCACTTTGCCTCTTTATTCTTTCTGCTGTAAGGCAGTGGCATTTGGGGGAAAGCTGCAAGGCGTCGGGAGTCGCGGGAAATTGACACGCTGAAAATAAACTGCCTATTGAACGTTGTCGTCGTGATGGCTGCCACTAGTGAAGCGATGCGAGCCGGGCCACGTTGATGACATGCGGGAAGATTGACTTTGGAGAAATGTACATGGTACCACGACGTACGGGGTGCAGCCGGCGTAGCGCGGCCGCATGCATCCGCCCTTAGAGGAGGGGTTATAGGAAGCTCTTTGAAAAATAACTTGGGCAAGTGAACCAAAGACTACGAAGAAGAGGGGGGTATGCATCCATCAACTGGGGCAAGTCTTACAGTTCCATTTGTAGCTATAGGTACGTATGCAACTGGTAGTTACTACTGTAGATAGATTATGCGAGGCGCTACTACGTGTATAGCAAAACGTCCACCAAGGTCCACAAAGACTATGCTACACCCGTGGACAATCAGTCATCCTGACTTTTTTCCCAGAAATATGTCCGGGATACCGAGAATAGCGAATCCGAAAAAAAGACTGCTTGCACAAGGTTTTGAGGCCGTGCTGATGTGAACTCTATATGCCGTGGTGTTCATCCCAATCCAGTAAAAGTATAAAATAAAATAAAACCGCCGGCTTGCTGAGAAAGACATGTATAATGTGGGCGAAACCAGCACAGAACGCTCAGAATGGGAAAAGTGGTGTTGTTGGTTGGAAGAACTAACTAACTGGCTAGAGGGCTGTGGAGGCTGGCTAAGACCAGTGGTGGCGGCCGTCAGCCCACGTGACGGGCCGGCGAGGCCTGCCACCCACACCCCCTCTCAGACTCCTCAGCGAAAAAGCAGTAGAATAATAGGAAATACAGGAAAAGTCCCAAATCCTCCAAATCCGAGGAGTTCTCAACTATTAGAAAACTCGGTCAATTACCGGTTAAACCTGGCCAATAGGAGGCCGTGAAATCCTCCGAATCCCGAAGTCTCAATATCAATAGTCCCACAGTCTCAAAATCCCCCTCTCAATCCAATCCCTCCGCCATGCCCAACAAACGAACGAATTCCTTGTGTTTGACCGCAACCAGTGGCTTCGTGAGTCCATCGGCGGCCATATCAGCGCCCTTGATGAGTCGGAGTTCGATGCTTTTCGCAGTGTGAACCTCCTGTATGATCCATTTGTATCGGACGTCGATGTGGCGGGTTCGTGCCTCGTTGAGTGGGTTCATGACGTTGTCGTAGCCGTTGGCACTGTCAGTGAACATGATAGTAGGCGTGGTGATGGGTTTGCCGAGCAGTTGGGAGAGGCAACGTCTGATCCACTTCACAGCAATTGCCGTAGGTGTGAGATTGATGAATTCAGCCTCCGTGGTGCTCAAAGTCACGAAAGTCTGTTTCTTTGACTTCCAAGCAATCGGCGCACCAGCGAGGAAGACGACGTAACCACCTGTCGAGACTCGTGATGGCTTGTTGTCAGCGAAAGAGGCATCTGCAGCAGCGTAGAGCCCCAACTCGTTGATCGTGGGGATGCCTCCAAGTACAATACCGAGATAAACGGTGCCCTTGAGGTATCGGAATAAGTGCTTAATAGCACGAAGATGGGCCTTAGAAGGCCCTGAATTCGCCTGTGACAATTTACTGACGGTGTAGGCCATGTCAACGCGAGTTCCAGCCACCAGGAAGTTAAGGCAGCCGGTTTGTTCGATGTAAAGTTGTTGTTCGTCAAGCGAGCACTCGTTCTTGTCCCAGGTGACGGGCAGATCGTCAGTGGTCGCCATAGGCGTCTTGACAGCACTCAAACCATCAAAGTCGAATCGTTGAAGCACTGCTTTTGCGTACTTGGCTTGGGAAACGAAAATCTTACCGGCAGCTCTGTCGCGTTCAATCTGGAAACCGAGAAAATCGGTAGCCTCGCCGAGGTCTTTAAGAGAACAGACCTTCTCGAGGAGACGACGAACTTCCATCATGACTTGCTTGTTGGGAGCGGCGATGGCGTTGTCGTCGACGTACATAAGAACGTACGCTTTAATCTTGTGATTGACGAAGAGACAAACCTCCCCATCAACAGCAGTGAAGCCAATTCGTTCCATTTCACCCTTGATAAGTCGAAACCACCAAAGTGGTGATTTTCTCAATCCATAGAGTGCCTTGTGGAGCAGCCAAACCTTGTTGTCTGCAGTGGCGTAGCCAGCGGGGGGCCGGACGTACACCTTAACCCCCTCTGGAATCGAGGCGGCTAGGAAAGCAGTGTCGAAATCATATACTTCGTATTCAAGATCGAGAAGTGCGACAACTGCGAAGAAAAGGCGGGTTGCGGTGGCAGAGGCAACTGCAGCGTAAACCTCTTGCGATGACCAGTCACCTTTCTCGTGGTTTCCACAAACCACATATCGGGCCTTGTAGCGCACGATTTCGTTGTTTTTGTTGGTTTTGATGTCACATACCCACTTGCCGGGCAGGACTTTAGCGTC